AAATGCTTTCCTTTCTGCAGGGGGATTTTGGTAGATAACATTTTCTCAATCTGACGAACTCATTGCTACGTTGGGTCCCGTCTTGGCTGGGGCTGCTAGTTGGGTCCCGTCTTGGCTGGGGCTGCTAGCTGGGTCCCGTCTTGGCTGGGGCTGCTATAATGGAACACCGTAGGCTAGGGGCTTCAACAACAAGCATTCATTTCTACAAGTTCTGGAGGCTAGAAGTCCAAGATCAAGGTGCCAGCATGGTCAGGTTCTGCGGGGAGCCCTCTCTCTCTCCACAGACTATGATTCCTCGCTGTGTCATCACGTGGCAGAGAAAGGAGCTGTCTGGGGTCTCTTTCACCAGGGCCCTAATCCCACTCCTGAGGGCTCCACCTTCATGACCTAGTCACCTCCCAAAGGCCCCACCTCCTAAACTATCATCCTATTGGAGGTGAGGATTTCAACATATGAATTTGGAGGGACACAAACATTCAGTCCGTAACAGGCCCCAAGTCCCCTTCCTGAGGGAGGTGGGACCCATGGGGAGGTGATGTGCACTCCTCTTGGAAATCAAATCACTCATTCACGTCATTGGCACTGTGGCTTCCTCGGCTGATCTCTGGCACCATTCAGTTCCCCGAAGCCATGGACCATCAGTTGAGCACTAAGAAAACCCACCACCTAAACCCACCCCCCTCGAGGTAGGGCTTTGCCCTGAACGCACTCCATGCCCTTGGACAGTCTCCAAGGCACTTCAAGGCAAAGACACTGGGTTTGACTTCTGTAAAGGCCCACACTTGGGCACCAAGGTCCCCGGCTGCCTCTGCTCCCAGGGACTTTCTCTACCTGCCCATTTTGCATTCCTTCCCAGAACGAGGCCACTCACTCTGCCCTCTGTGGCTTCCCACCCTGACTCAGACTTGGCCTCTCTACTTCTCGGGGCCAGCTACATATGTAGCCCCAGCCTCTCCTCACGGAGTAGATCCAGCCGAGTGGCTTGAGCTGCTGACCAATGTTCTGCCTGCTCTCCTCTGGGTGGATCTTGTGGGGTCCAAGGACGACCTACTGCCCAGCCGCTCTGAGGCCCTCAGTGCAGGGAGTCCATTTTTTCTGCTGGGTTCCCCTCCCCAGGTATTCCTGGGTCTCCTCCTGCCTAGTTCCCCACATGCCTCCTGATTCTGCCTTTGGGCCATGCCCCGCTCCGATGCACACACTGGATCCCATCAGCTCAGCTCCGGCTGCCACTTTAAGTCCATGCCTAAGATTTAGGGAAACCAGAGGAAAAGCACAGCAAAGGGGCCTGTATCCGCCCCCGGAGGTGGCCACACCCAGAGCCCAGAGCCCAGCACCCCCTGCGGAGGGTGAGGTTTCTCCACCCATCTGGTGCCAGGCCTCTAGTTCATAAGGCTTCTCTGCCCTGCGGGGAAACCCCACCACACACTGACAGAGCTGTGGTTTGACCCTGAACCTCCCACACGATCACTGGGTTCCTGGACACAATAGGGTCCCCAAGTCAGAGTCATGCCATGGTGAATGCACCGTCCATGAGAAGCAGCTTGGATCCTTGGATCTTGGATCCTTGGACCATCTGCATTCAGCCCAGTCAAGCCTGATTCCTGAGTATCTCTCCTCGATCCTGTGGGGCCTCCGGCGGACACACACACAGAGCTGAGCACCGTCACCGGCCCGGATGTACGGCCCGAGCTGTCCCTAGAGAAGAGGTCTCTCACCGGGGCACGCGCTTTGTAGGGTTTGCGTGACTGTAGGCGCCCCCTGGAGCCCCGTCTCGACAGCTTCCCCCTCACAGGGAGCGTCTGGGTGACGGCCCCCCAAGAACAAAGGCTGTCTGAGGCCTCGGGTGAACTTGGGGCCCCTCCGCCAAGCAGAACCGACATCAGGCTTTGAAGTGACAGTGCTTCAGATCTTACTGCCGAGACTTCAAAGTGCAAGAGGGCCACACTTAGGTTGTAGCTCACGAGCAAGGAGCTACGGGGCCCCTCCAGTGGGGGGTTTGTGAAGAGAATGCACCTTGCAGGGCTCTTGGCTGGGTATGGGATGCTCGGGCTCAAATTGGGTGGGGGGGGCTGTCCGTTTGTCCTTCTGCTTCAAGCCCCACGAGTCCTCCGGGCCCTGCCACCCACACTCTCTCAGATGCCTGTTCACGGTTGTGTGTCCTGGGCTCACGGGGAAGCCGGCTGCGGGCGGGAAAAGGAGAGAGGGGGCTGTGATCGTAGTTGGGGGGGTAGATGCTTCCCCCCAAAAGTGCCACTCTTGTGGGTCTTGAGGCCCCTGCCCCCCCAGCAGTGGGGTCCTCACGGTGGAGGGCAGTCCCGTGTGGGGGTGTCCCCCATCTCCGCGTGGTACCGTGTCCCTGCCTCCAGCCTGCTCCGCACACGAGGCTCTCTCCTCACGGGCCTATTAACTGCAGCCCTTTTAGTCTCTGCTGGTCTCCACAGTCACCTGCCGGCCCTCGGCCATTTCAAGCATCTTTGCAGTTAGTGTTTATTTGTGGCGACTTGCGACAAGTTGTCTTACTCTTGCCAATGTCATCGGTACCCACAGCAGCTATGTAGCATTAATAGACCGGCTTTCAGCTCCACAGCGTCCCCACAGAGGGATGCAAGAGGACTGTGCAGCTCATGGACTAGCATTCTGCATGTCAAGTGCTCCCTGGGGGCCGATATCCCGAAGGAGGGTCAGTCCTTGCCCCTGAGGGGACTCGGCCCAGGTGGGCGGTGGCTCCGGGGTCAGCAGGAGCTGGCTGTGGTACTGGTCTTCTTGGTCTGCCCTAAAAAAAGACCATAGACTTGCACAACAGGAATGTATCTCACTGTTCTGGAGGCTGGATGCCCAGGATCAAGGTATCAGCAGGGCTGACGTCTGCTGAGGGCTCTCTCCTTGGGTTGCAAATGGCCGCCTTCTCCCCAAGTCCTCACACAGCCTTCCTCAGCACATGCAGGGGGAGAGAGAAAAAGCATACACTCTGGTGGCTCTTCCATAAGGACGCTAGTCCCGTTGTGAGGGCTCCAGACTCAGGACCTCATCTAAAACGAAGTATCTCCCAAAGGCCCCATTTCCAAATATTATCATACTAGGGGTTAGGACTTCAACATATGGATTTGGGGGGTGTGGGGAGACACACAGCAACTGTCAGGAGCGAGGATGTCTCCAGCCAGCCCTCGGCACCCAGGCCGTAACTGGGCTGTGCTTGAGACTGTGGGGAATTTAGGAGAAAGCAGTGGCCCAAGCCAGCATCTAGGAGCTCACACTCTCCAGGAGCTCTGGATAGGGGAGCAGGATTCACATATGAGGAGCCATGAAGGAAAACTCAGAGTTAACCCGGGAGAGTCAGACTCACACCATGGGTGGTCGGCAAAGGGAGAGGTCACAGCGAAGGACCTCTGGGGGCTGGCCCTGTGTCTTTAGCCCCTTGGTGATGAGCAGGTCTCCTATGCTGGGCCACGCAATGTCTGTAAAAGGAACCAGGGCCTCTGGAAGCTGCTCCAGTATCATGGTGGTAGTGGGACAAAATGGAGGGAGAGGGTGTGGCGGACTCAGTCCTAGAGGGACAGGAGCTGGGCTTGTGGGGTCTCTGTGGCCCAGCTGCTGCCACAGGGAGCCAAGCCCCGAAGTGGGTGCGGGGAACTATGCCGCGGGCAGCTCCCACCTCCTCGCACTCGGCGTCCGTGCAGCTGCTCCGGCCTGAGCCGTTCTTGGCCCCTTCGGCCAAGACGGTTGGGTCACCAGGCCAGGGCCTTCAGGGGCCAGTTCTTCCCTGGAGCCACTGCGGACCAAGACCATGTCACACAGCATTATAGGAATCCGTTTATTTGGCAAATCCAGATAATCAAATCATTTTCCCAATGAATTGTGCTAGTTTCACACATATACATATAACAAGTACGTCTCGGGTTTTTCCAGACTAGGAGGAAGACTATGGTCACATTTACGACCAAATAATGTCCCCAGGCCTCCCTTACGGGCAGGCATTTCAGCCATTTCCACAACTGAGCTCAGAGCTCCCCAACTCACTGACTGCCTTTTGCTGGCGGGAGTGGGCCCCTGGATGCCCCAGCACCCAGCCCTAACCCGCGCCCTGACCTCTGCCCCTTCCCTGCCTGCTGGGAAGGAGTGTGGATCCCCCTGCAGAGCAGGCTGGCCTGAAGTCCTGGGCCTGATCCTGCTCCCACAGGCCCCGATGAGTCCCCTACGACTCGAAAGCCAGGATGGGTCTGCATGGAGAGAGAGAAGAGGCCTGTGTCCTCCCCCAGTGTTGGGATCAGTCGGTGGGGGAAGGGGGCATTCTCCAAGGCTCACCCACAAGCCCACAGTTGCCACATAGACCTGAGGCTGCTATCTCCCTGCAAGGACCTACATGGCTCATGGACCTCCCCCCGTCCTGCCTTCTCTGTCACCCAGCTAGGGCAGGGTCAGGCTGCCCACGAGACAAACTTTATGTTTATGAACATCACAGGGGGTGATGGGGGTGGTCAGGGCGCTGCCATCTCCTTTCTCTTAGGAAGTCTGTCCAGCCCTAAGTACACTGGGAGATGTAAATGCCACACGATGGGCTCCCAGCTCCCAGCTCCCAGCACAAAGAGAGAAATTGGAGGAGAAGACTACACACATGCATGGGCTCTGACCCCCGGCCGGCACAAGTGTCCTACTGGGTTTAACAACCGGCTTCCTTAGAGCCTCTGTGCAGGATGGCCATGGCACCTTGGGGCAGCTGGGTCTGCAGAGTGCCTGCCCCGGGCTGCCGCCTCCCGGAGGCCCAGTCTGCGGGGCCGGAGCCTCTCTGATCCTGGTTGGGATCACTCCTCCACACCCATTTCCACCCCTGCATTGACACTTGCTTCCTCACCCTTCCCTGCACCAGACCACTGAGCTGGCTGCGGCCGAAGCAGGAGGTAGAGGGGCTCTGGCCTTGGACTGCTCTCGGTCGAGCTGGGGATTCTCAAGCAGGAAGCAGCTCTGCCCTCCATCCTTCCTCCCTGCCACTCCCCAGCCCCTCACAGAGCCCTGTAGCTGCAAGCCTGGGGTAATCACCCGACCTCAGCCTCTGCCCCTGCCTCCCGTCAGGGTTTTATCTAAACCACCCCCTTCCCCGCCACCCTGCCACCCTACCTTCCGTCCACCAATTGGCAGTGGAAGCCTCTTTCCCTACAGGTAGAAAGTGGTTCTTTTCTTCCTCAAGACCTCCCCCTTTTTCACACAAAGTCTCATCTCTTACATCTCATCCCACTCTCTGCCTTGCAAAACCACCCCACAATTGATCCTTGGAATTGTTTTATTCTCTGGAGTGGCCTGAGTCATCAGAAGGCTTTCGACTGTCACGGCAGCGCCTCCTCAAGATCATCCAAGAAGCCCGGTCCAAACCGTGATCGACTGTTTACAGTCTCCAACCAGGAACTGCCAGGAGCTCCTTGCCATCGAGATGGTTCCTCCAAGTCCTGGCTGGCTCATTTTCTCCCTCCCGGCCCCTGGAGAGAGACAGTCCTGGGGACAGTGCCACCCAGCCAGCCGCCCAGACAGGACTCAGGTGGGCGAGACAGCATGAGTGACTTATTCTCCTCTGGCGGAGCCCAATCAAGCCTGATTCTTTCTCCTCGATCTCAGTGAAACGGCCTAACCAACAATCTCCCAGTCTGTTCAAGGTAGCAAGTTGGTCACGTTCAGGAATTTCCCCTCTCTTAGTCTTGTCTCCACCGCCTCTCTTCCCACTGGGTCCGAGCTAAAGCTCCGTGTCGTGGACGCCATGATGGCAATGGGGGGTGGCTGTCCACTGCCAGCCCTTGGCCTGTCTCCTTCCTTCCCTAGGTGCCACCAACACCTTTCCATTCTGTCCCCACTGCCTCCACAATGCATCTGTAGCTTCGCCACGGCCTGGTTCACATCAGCTTCCCTCATCCTTCTGCCACCTTCTCGTGGGCACAGGAAGGTTTGGCTGGCTGTCTGGACCTTTCTTCCCCATAGGAAACTTGGGGCTCTCTGTATGTTCTTGCTCTGCCCTCATCACCCCCACTTGTTATGAGGTTATTGGCCACCAGAGCCTGAGAAGGGACTGGGAAGGGTAAGTCTGCTCTACCCTGAGACCCCCAAACCAAAACGGAGCTCGATACATCCTTACTCCTCCTTCTTTGCCCAGAACACCTTCCACTGTGACCAACCCTCTTGGTTCTCTCTCCTAACTCCTCTCTCTTCCTCTCCAGAATCTTCTAGTCTAACAGAAGGATGGGGGGAGCTGGGAAACAGCCTTGCTCAGATGGTCTCCTTTTTTTCAATTTTTCTGGCTCATGTTTTTGAGCTTATAAAGAATTCACCTGGTTCTTGGGTCCTTAGAGATTCCCAAATACTGGGTGATTTATGTTGAGCTGCCTGGGTGCGGGGGAAAGGTCTTTGGAGCATAAGGAGCAAAGACAGTGTTCGGTGAGCATCAAAAGGGAAAGCATACCAGTAGACGTGCCACATTTGTCCACCACATCAGAAACCTTGGAACAGGGTATCTGCTACCAGAATTTTGGGCTGGGGTTTTCATCCTCTGCATAGGTCTTTCTCTCCTTAGCCCCTACTGATCATGGTATCCTGGAGAACAAGCTGGACCCTGGAAGGCCTGTGGGCCATGATGTCCATGCGGAATTCTTTAATGACAAAGTAGTAGCAGAAGACATCTAGGCAGCAGTTGATGTTGGAGAAACACATGGACAACTGCAAGAACAAGCTGATGTTCTGCTTAGCGCTGCACTGCACAATAAAGCCGTTCCGTACCAGGAACTGCAAGAAGAAACCCAGGTGGACCGGAAGAAAGGAGACCACAAAGACAGCCAGACTGGCCGCGATTGTCCAGATGCAGGCCTTCTGCTGGACCCAGTCCCGGGTGAGATCCCGACGGCCTACCAGGATGTGAATGCTCCTGGATGAACAGAAACCCATGACACCCATGGGAAGAAGGAAGCCGAACACCTCAAGGGGAAAGAAGACCTTGGCACTCCAGGTGCCATCGGACATGTTGTGGAAGCACGTGTACTTTTCCACCTTCCCGTGAAAGCTGTAGATAGGGATGCTCCCGGCCCACACCAGGACCCAGATGGTGCAACAGATCCCCAAGATCTTCCTGGGGGACCGGAGGTGGCTGACCAGGAATGGGTACTGGATGGCCAAGAATCTGTCCAGACTAATGAAGCAGATGGTGAAGACACTCCCGTACATGCTAATGAAGTAGAAGCACTCCACCAAGGTACAGAAGAAAGGAAGGGATGCGCGCACATTGGACAGCGCCATCTTGAACGGAAGGGACAGCACCAGCAGCAGGTCGAAGATGGCCAGATTGATCATGTAGATGGAGGTGGCCGCATAATCCGGCCACCTCTTCTTCAGGAAGGTGCTGAAGCCTCGGATGGCCAGCACGTTGAGGAGGAGGCCCAGGAGGAAGGTGGGGATATGGACCACCAGCTGCACGGTTTTCATCAGCTCATCCACGTCCCTGAAGGAGCAGTTCTGGCTCTTGTTGAGTTGCTGGCTCATGTCCTTTCCTGCAACACCAACAACAGATGAGATGAAGTCCCTCTCGCTCGCCGCAAGCGACGGCTCCCCGCAAGCGACGGCTCCCCAGTGACTGTATAACACAGCCATTTGTGCCTACTAAATAACAACTAGAAAATGCAAGAAAGCAAATTGCCTCTAATCCTGCTGCCCAATATAAGCGCTATTACCTTTTTGGGCATTTCGCTCCAGACTCTCTTTCTCTCTCTCACGCACACACACTCATGCACACATGTGTGCATGAGTGCTTTTCTCTTTCACAAAAATGGAATTGTGTGTGAACGTCTGTCCCTTGTTTTCAATCAGAACTCCTGTTGAAAGTAGTAGCAATGACAAACCCTGGCCCAGAATGGCTTAAGCAAAGGACAGAATTTCACATAACTGAAAATATAACTAGGGCAGGGTGGCACATTGCATTCCCTCGGACACGGTGACTAGTTGTTCACTGGTTCAGGGATGGACATTTGACCCACCCAGAGGCATTGAAAAGCAACAGTAACTCTTACTTGGGTTTCCAGAAAGGGGGTTGGGGCTGTCTCGGTGACACTTGAAGCTGGAAAGACATAAGGGCTGGAGGTGACAAGCCGGAGACAAGTCAGGGCTTCCGAACAGGCCAAAGACGAGGGTCCAAGGCAGACCCTGGCCAGGTCTCACCGCAGAGCTGAATCTGGGGGTGTGGAGGGCAGGTGTGTGCCACTGGGGATCTCTACACCGTCGTAGGTGGCTGCCTTGGTTCGGGCTTCCGTAACAGAATACCATGGACCAGGGGCACCTGGCTGGCTCAGTCGGTTAGGCGTCTGCCTTCGGCTCAGGTCATGATCCCAGGGTCCTGGGATCGAGCCCTACATCGGGCTCCCTGCTCGGCGGGAAGCCTGCTTCTCCCTCTCCCACTCCCCCTGCTAGTGTTCCCTCTCTCGCTCTGTCTCTGTCAAATAAATAAATAAAATTAAAAAAAAAAAAAAAGAATACCATGGACTGTGTAGCTTATAAACAACATAAATTCCTTTCTCACAGCTCTGGAGGCTGGATGTCACAGATCAGGGACCCAGCACGGTTGGGGGAGGGCCCTCTGCCAGGTTGCGGACTGCTAACTTCTCTTTGCGACCTCACATGGCAGAAAAAGGACAAGAGGGCTCTCTGGGGTCTCTTTTCTAAGAGCACTAATCCCATTCAGAAGGTCTTAATCACCTCCCAAAGGCCCCACCTCCTAATACCACCACCTTGCGGGGGGGGGGGGGGGTAGGGATTAGATTTCTGCATATGAATTTGGGAAGGGGGATGGGACACAAACATTCCGTCCATAACAGTGGCCCTGGAGCAGATCAAACCCAGGAGACATTCGACCTGCCTGCAGAACCAGTGAGGCTGGACAGAGAAATCAAAGATGACCCAGACTCCATGCACGCACCCCTCCTTTCTCATGCCCCACCCCCACCCCAAAGGACGCAGACCTGCTGACATGGCTGGTCTGTGCCAGGCCCAAGAGCACACAGGGCCGCTGCGTGGGAGAGGTCAGTCATGCTGGCCACGGCTTCTCCTTGCGCCTCTCCCACCCTCAGGGACTCTCTGGCAGCAGGGGCAGGGGGCCCAAAATGTAGACACAGCAGAGATTAGGCGCCAACATCACCTTTTACCAAGAATCTTGTGCTAGCGACCAATGCACTCATTTGCTGAGCTTCTGTTATTCTACTGGTTTTTTTCTTTTATTGAAAAAGTATCCCATGCATTCAATAAGATATTCAGATGGTACAAAAAAAAAAAAAAAGAAAGAAAAGAAAGAAAGAAAGAGGACAGAAGCCTCCGTTGTACCCCAGAGCCTCGGTTCTCCTTTCTAGAGACAACCACAGTTAACCATTCTGTGCATAGTTTTTCCAGAAATTTTCCAAGGATATGCATACACACACACAGATATGCATACGTACATACATATATATATATATGTATATATGATGTTTCTTTAAATTTGGAAAATATTACACCCACAGCTCTGTCCCTTGCTTTTTCACTTTACAACGTTTCTTGGAAATTGTTCCACATCAGCATCTATGAATTGGCTTTTTCTTCTTAATGGCACACTTACATCCTGTTGTGTGGAGCTACCACAACCCATTTAGCCAACAGCTATTGACGAACATTCAGGTTTCATAGGGTTTTACTAGGAAACAAAAACTTCCACAGCGACCATCCCGGTGACTTATTTCTTTGCTACACGGATATCATTAAGAGAATCCCCATTCTGCTATTGTTTCTCATCAGTAGAGCTCCCTTGAAAGTTTTAGGGACGGAAAGACTTGGGCATTTTTAAGACCCTATATTTGGGTTTTTTAAGACCTTATCATGCCATTCCCAAACCCTCCCTAAAAAAGGAATATATTTTTATATCCTCCATGGAGAGATTATGTGTTAAACATTTAACACACATTACTCGAGTTGGTGGCTTTCCTATGTGTTAACTGTTCTCAGGGGTTGATGTCACAAAAGATCTAGGAAAATGTATTTCCTCACATTCAAAGTTTTAGGCCCCTGAGGTCGGCGTGAATGGCGCCCCCTGGCGTTGTGCGGCGTGGAAGCCCGGTGTAACTGCTCCTACCTGAACACACCTGCAGGAAAAACAAGCTGGCAGGCTGCTTCCTCCAGACTAAAAATGCCAAAAGATCCACAGGCCTACCTCAAAAAACTAGCTAGAATAACTTGGAGGCAGCAAGAGAAATTTCAAAAATGACAAGAAAAGCAGGCAAATATTCAATCCAGGTCTCACCAGAAAGTGTCGCAACACCAAACAGGAAGGCGCAATTGGTTCAGAGATTTCACTTAAGCAGCAGAAACAGAAGTAAACCAAGAACCACAAAAAAAGGAGTTCAAATACAGGTTTGTATTTAAAGAGATTCAACACGACTGTAGAAAAAGGAACTAGGGCATCCGTGTGGGGCTGGGTCATGCTCAGGCACACTCCATGGACGAATCTACCACATCACCGGTGGTTCAGTGACTAGAACTAAAAGGGCCAACAGCAGCAAAAAAAAAAAAAATCAGTGATGCTCAAAGTTAAACCCAAACCCAACCCCAGCATACGGCTGAATTGAACACACCAATGAAAAAGGAAGGGAGTGTCTGCCTTCAGCTTGGGTGGTGATCCCAGGGTCCGGGGATCAAGTCCTGCGTTGGGCTCCTTGCTCAGGGTAGAGCCTGCCTCTCCCTCTGCCTACCCACCTGCTCATGCTCTCTCTCTCTCCCTCTGTCTCTCTCTCTCAAATGAATAAATAAAATCTTAAAAAAAAAAAAAAAGGAAGGGAGAAAATGGTCTGATGGATGCTGGGGCTTGTCTGACTCGATGGTACCAGGTGGATGTGTGGAAAAAAGACACAACTCAGCCCTCGGTGTTCTCCAGCGGGACCATCCTAAAGGTCACATTTGAATTACTGACAGACTTCAAATGGGAACTTTTCAAACGCTAATCTTTGAAGTCAGAGAAAGCACTCTGGACTGGCAAAAGGAAATCAGTTTGGGGAAAAAAAAAAAAAAAAAAACTTCCAGCTAATGGCAGAGTAAGCAGAGAATCTGAAAAATTAATCCTCTGAATTCCCTCCGAAAGTTCAAGGAAACCACCTTTTTGAAAATCTTCTTTAAAAAAAAAAAAAAAAAAAAAAAAGATCAGGAACTTCTCTGGAATAAGACAAAAAGGCTCCAGGCTGCAGCTAGAGATAAAAGAGTCATTTTTCTCAAAGATGGGCCGCCAGTAAAAGTCAGCCCCCTTGAGGTGGGAGCCAGCAAGCTCCCCACACCTGACCTGTTGCCGGGACCCCTCGATAGTCCCTGTGCCAGGCAGCCCAGGGACCCACACCAACGGATCTGCCACACTGGGCTGTCACCTGTGCTCCCAGGGGGCAGCCGGTTCTCCTGAAGGGACGTTCTCCTGAAGGGAAGCTGGAGCAGCCCCCCGAGAGCCACCACCGAGGCTGTCCTAACACCTCCATTTACATCAGAAGCTGACTATTGTGTGACAGGCAGTGGTGGGGACATTCCCAATTACCATGTCAAACAGGACCATCTACAGGTGTTAGCTTTCTTCGGCAGGGATGGGGGGTTCTATTGCCTCACCGGCAGCATTTGATCGGGCCCGTCTCCAGCCTCCTACCAGGAAGGAAATAGAACTGAGCGGGGAGAGGTCATGGGTCAAGCAAATCGGGCCTGTGAATAGACCCGAAGGGCCCGTGATGACCTTCGTTAGTCACCGGCAGCGAGGTGCCTGAGAGGTGGGGCTGAATGGAACAATGGAGAAGGGGAGAACTTGGATGGGAGGAGCTGAGTTTCATGCAAAATTTATGGAGAGAGAGCCCCTCCCAGATGATCTGCTCACATCTTTATTTATTTTTTTTTTTAATTTTATTTATTTATTTGAGAGAGAGAGAGAGCATGAGCTGTGGGAGAGAGGGAGAAGCAGGCTCAGGGCTCAGGACCCTGGGATCATGACCTGAGCCGAAGGCAGACTCTTGATCGACTGAGCCACCCAGGCGCCCCTGCTCACATATTTAAATGACATTAATATCGAGCCCTACAAACATCTGTGAATAAACAAACCAAATTCCTTGGAAACTTCTCTGAAAAACTGATTCACAGCAGAAGAGGTTTGAGGGAGAAAATTTGGACACAAGACTTTCCTACCCAACTGGGTTTCTGTGAAGGTGTGAAGATCACAGAAAGCCATCATCAGATAGGTGTGGCTTCCGGAAGGAAATGGACTCCAAGAGGCAAATATTTAGACCTCCACGAGATAATAACAATGAAGAATAAAAACACAGTTACGATGAAGATAGTTACAGATGTAAAATTAAAAGAAAAACACCGTAAAAGAGGTCACTTAAAAAAAAAAAAAACAAGAGTTAATACCTTAGATCAATTCACAAAGAAGGAAGAATATCCTTGGGGTGTATGGGGCAGGGGTGTGGGAATAATAGGATACGGGTGAAGCAAATATTCCATAAAAAATTAAAATTATTGTTCTGTTTTGTTTCACTTTGATAATTACAGAAAGTGTAAGATTTTTTTTAAAAAACCTTGAAGTAACTAACCACTGACCATTAAAAACAGGATGCCTATCTTCAAAATCACCAAAGAAGATAAAAACAAACAAATCAGACCCTATAACAAAGGAGTAAATAGAGTGGAAAAAGGGATTTGAGGATAGAAATGACGATAAACGTGAAAAATT